TGTTATATTCATAACAACCAATAATAATTGACTTCATTAATTTTAATAATAAAAAATTATTAGACTTTAAGGTTAAAAAAAAAAAAGAGTAAAAATTAAAAAAAAAAGTTAAAATAATCTGCCGCTCCATTGGCTGCGGGGATTTGGAATGAATATTCTTAGATCGGTGCTTTTAGCAGATTCCGGAACGAATATTTTATTTCGTTAAACAATTTAATTATTTTACATTAATTCTTATTAAAATTAGAGCGCTATTTATAGATTAAATATTATTTATTATTCTTAAAAAATTATTTAGAATAATTGGGCCTATATCATTAATTTTATAATATATTTAGAAAGTAAAACTTAAATATTTCAAATTCGTTTGGTGCATTTAAAATTTTTTGAATACACCAATCACAATATAGTTAATTGGGTACATATTTTTTCATTTCAGAGCTTGTGTTAGCTTTGGTGTCCATGTACCTTTTCTTGCCCTTCTTCTCTTTCGTATGTGTGTATTCCTTCTTGAGCAACAACGATGTTGTCATTAATTTGATGGTTTAGGACAAACTTAACTTGATTCATTTGAACGAGAGGGCTAATAATACTATTAGGTTTGTCTATTAGAAATTTAGTGACAATTTCATAAGCCATATTGTAAATAGATAGGTTTGTAGTCTATAAAGTTTTTATCGTCTTTTTTTTGGGAGACAAGTGGTAAAACGATATAATTAACCTTCAAAAACTTACGATAGATTGAACTGAGATTTTATGGAATGAATTCTCAGAGAGGCTTGTTTTCTAAATTGATAATATTGTGAATAAGTTTGCCGCATCCAAAGGCCTTCGATAAGGTGCCCTCTTATTCTTTTATCTTATTGTAAAGAAAAATGTCACGAACAAGTCTCTCGCATATAAGGACCTTCGACAAAGTGACTTCTTATATCTTTATCTCCAGTTTTTTTTGTTGGGAAAAGCTAGGCCACCTCACTCATGATAAGGAATAAAAGAAATAATATAAACTGTAACACCCAAATTTTATTATTTTTATTTTAATTTATATTAGAATTTTAGTTTAATTTTTTAATATTTAATTTATAAAATTTTAATTTAATTTAATTTAATAAAAATAAAAAAATAATAATGATAAAATAGGGTTAAATTATTTTTGGGATTTAATTGAAATTGATTTTGAGAAAAATGGGTGAAAATTTGGATTATGTGGGCGTTTTTAAAAGGAAAATCGGAAACCGGAAGTCAAAACGCAATTTAGGAAAGTTGTGCCACGCCAGCAGCCCAGTCAGCAACTCCAGCCAACCAGAACACGCTGCGTAGCAATGAAGCTAACACAGGACGAAGCCACGTGGGTGATCCGCGTGCATGCGATCGAACGGTCCAGATCTCACGCGTGCGGACGGTCTAGATTAAATCACGCACGGACAGCCCAGATCGCATCGCGATGGACGGTCCAGATTTATTTCTATTTTAATCACGATCAAACGGCTCAGATTAAATCGTGATTGATGGCTGAGATTAAAAGGGGAAGGTTATAAATAATCTCACCCATACCCGACCCCAAACCCTAGCCGCCAGTACCCTCGCCGGAGAAGAAGAACCAGTCACTAGAGGAGCTGGCTGCTGCCACCCGCCGCCGCACCAAAGGGTTTTTCAACCGCCAAACAAGGTAAATTTTCTCCCATTGGCTCGTTTTTCGATGCTGAATCTGCCTATGGCCAAATCGAAGCCAAACCGCCGGCTAATCGGTCGAAAAACACCGCCAAAGTCCAGCAGCACCGCTGCGGCTTACCTCGATTTTTGCTCCGATGAGGCCATTTTCGGTTCCCGTTCGATGCAATTTTTACACCACTGTGATCACCCTCCTTTTCTCTACAGGTTGACCGGAGCAAAACATCAAATCGCGACTCGTGTCGGAGAAGCCGCCGCACCCGAAAGCTCCGCCGTCGGTAAGTCTCGATTTTTCGTGATTTTTTTGCCCACCGAGGGCCCTAGGGTTGTTTTATCGCAGGAACCAATGCAAGTTTGACCGAAAACGGCCAACCCGAGGCGGATCAACGCCGCGGGCGGCGGTGCCGTCGCCGGAGCACGGCGGAGCCGCCGTGTCGGAATTCTGATATTGGCCGAAAAGGGGCCCTGGGTCTGATTTGGGGTTTTTTGGGACACGTACAAGTATTGGTAGTGCGTTTCAGTTTTTCGGAGAAAATTAAGGGAATTTAGGGACAGCCCATAGGCGCATTGTAGAGCTGATTTCAGACCCCGAAACAAGTAAAGATCTCTCACTCTATTTTCTATCATTGTATTAAAGCTTAATAAATGATAAAACGACATTTCATGAATTAATAGATATGTATAATTAATTAAGGTTGCTAATGGAGCACGAGTCTGATATATTTTCAGTCAGTTGTTGTTTTAGTTATTTTACAGTTTTAAATGCATTATGGTATCTTATCTATTTATTTTATGATTTTGAATGCATGAATCACTGTTTACTTCATTATGGCTTGATTTTGTGAATCCGATGATATGCCTGCTTTATTAGATGCTCGTTACTGCTTTAAATATTCATGATTATGTGAGAAATAGAAAACCAAGAAAAAAATAGAAAATGTATGTAAATTGATAAATAGATAACGTGGACAGCCTGACTAGATATCCTAGGAGATGGTGGACAGACCGGATCCGTAGAGAACCCTACCGGGAACGTGGTCTCTCATACCGGACAGGGTATGGAGACTTTATGATTTGGCACCCATACCGAACGAGGTATGGGGACGGCCTTAGAATCAGGTTATTAATGTTAATGGTTCACGTGTAGCGAGGACCCCATATAAATCTCCATGGATACTAGTAGGCTGGTAAAAGAGGAAATTTGTTGTCTGATTATTATAGTACAAAAGTATAACATGTGTTATGTTACAAAGTGTATATGATTTTATGATAGTTATAATGTTATTGTTTCCATATGTTATTTTCACGAATCTCACCGAGATAAGTGGACAATAAAAGTTTTTATCATTAATAAATGAGTTTGTTACAAATTATGCTCCATTGGTCGTTTTTTTTTCTACCAACCTTTACTTCTGTGGCAGTGAGATAGTGTGATGTTTTTACTGGGATAGTGTAGCTCATTCCTTACTTAACCATTTCAGATCAGGAAGACGTGGTTCCCGAGCCCGTTCCGCAGGAAGACGGTGAATTAGACGCATAGTTTTTATTTCGAGTATTTCTTTTAATTAGTTTATTCTTTCATACGTTGAACACATTTATAGTTATTGTGTAAGGGATATTAATCAGAATTTTTATTTCGCTTCCGCATTTAAAATTTTTAATACATACATCTTCATTTAAATTTCTGGGGCCGTTACATAGACTCTTGAAGATAGGAGACAAAGTCTGATGTTGTCCCATTTCTTTTTTGTCGATGACCTCATTCTTTTTGTTGAGGCATCCTACGATCAAATATAAACCACTAAGACTTGTCTTGACTTACTTTTTGCTAGCTTTAGACAAAACATTAACCTCACAAAATCTCAAATTTTATTTTCAAAAAATGTGGACAGAAGGGTTTGCGGACAGTTGAATAAAATTAACATGATTCCTTTTATCAATGATTTAGATAAATATTTAAGGTTTCCATTACTTCACATTAAAAAAACTCCATCAATATTATTTAAGATATTATTAATAGGGTAAGAAGGATATTTGATTGTCGAAAATACCTTCTCTTTATTGTGAAAATATGACCAAGCTTTTCAATTTTGTGATATATTATTCTGTCATACTCTATGCAGATGATCATTTTTCCTTTTTTGATATGAAAATAACTAAATCGGGTCATAAAGGATTTCATTTGTGGTGTATGTACAGGAATCAGGTGTATGTACAGGAATCACAAAACTCGTACTATTAACTAAGATAAGATTTGTAAACCTAAAAATAAAAGTGGTTTTGGTACTCACGATATGCCCTTTTTGAATAAGGCTCTCTTTATGAAGCTGGGGAGGGGATTACTCAGATAGAGAGATAGCTTGTGAGCTTAAATAATTAAAATAAAATACTTTTATAAAAAAAGTGTCATTGACGTTGAAAGTCATCCTCGGATAATTCTCCTACCTGGAAAAACTTGGTAAAACACATTTAGTTTTTCAAGTCTAATATTTAATTTGTTAAAAATAATGAAATAATTCAATTCATCAACCAATATAACATATGACTTGAAGATTTTGATTGCATAATTGAGTTGTATGTTAACATGGACAAGTCATGGAAATGGAGCAAGTTTGGGAATCTCCTTCCTTCTACTATTTACCTTGAAATCTCTCATGTTAAGGTCATTAAGAATGACTTTATCTTTGATAGACCTACTTGACATTTTACTAATAAAGAGAAGTTTATGGTCAAACCCACATATGCCCTCATTACCCACACTTCTGGTCTTTGATGTTGGTGATCCTTGGAAAAAAAATAAAGACCTTCTTTATTCCTAAGCATGTTAGATAATTTATGTAACTTCTCATATTTTAAACTTTCTTAATGAATATCGAACGAAAGATGCGTCACATGACTCAAGATGATTATTGCCCAAGGTGCCACATGGGTAGTGAGATCATCATCCATGTGGTCCATGATTGTCATTCGTCAAAATAAATATGAGTTAGGCTGCATGATAAATTTCTAATATTTTTCTCTTCTTTTTGGCAAATTAGATAAATTAGAACATGCATGATAAAAGTAGCATGCACGGTGTTGCCAGTTAGAAGGTTATTTTTTTCTCGCAATTGCGGCCTTGAGATGTGCAATATGAGTTAGGCTAGACATCAACATGGATGCCATGTGACAAAAAATTAAAAGATCCTACCTAGTTAGCTTCAACATGTACACACATTTAAAGATAATAATTATTTTAACAACGAATACTCATGTGAATACTTTTTAAAAGTAAAAAAACTAGTTTGAACATGAAAAAAATTAGAGCAACTTTTCTAAACATTTCACATGGTATGAGACATATTATGTAGTTAAAAAAGTCCAACTAAAAATAAGTCTTAACTAATATTCAATATAGTTGTTATAACTTTTAAAAGAAAAAATATTCGAATAAATTGTTATGTAGCTTTAATTGTATAAAAAAAAAAACTAAGATTACGTAATTCAATAGAATTATAAAAATAAAATAAAAATTAAAAGTAAGAGGAAATATATATAATAACTATAAGAACTCAACCTCAAGCTTGGTTAATTGAGTAAATAATAAGTAAAAGATAGTCCGTTAATATATGTACCTAAATATTCTTTTTATATTTATATAACAATAAAATTTGAGTAAATATCTCACATTAAAACAATATTGTTATATTTATTGTTTACTTATTATGGACTAATATTTCTTTAAATACTTGAATAAAAAATATCATACGAACAAAAAGAAAAAACATTGTTAATTAATTTTTCCTTGAAATTAAGGCTGGAAAATTCTATTTTCTTTCACTTTTTTCCCTTCCAATCTTTTTTTTTTTAAAATTAATTAATTTTTATCAAAACATGAAGAATCTAGATCTAGCTGGAGTGGAATTATCATTTCTCGAAATAGTAGATCGCTTAATTCTTGGTTGGACTTGGTCCCATGTGTTGATGAATTCAATTAAGGGAAATAATATTTTATAAAATTAAGAAAAACAAAGAGGCTATAAATAATTCTACAATGATAAAATATGTTATATGAAACCATGAAACACGTTCGATAGAGATATAATTAAGAAATAATAATAATTAGAGGAAAATTTGAAATTAAAAGTAGGAGAAGAACTGATAGTGTGAATAGGAGTGGTGGTGGTGGTGGGGAGGGAAGACTGGGTTTGACGAAAAGCAGCAGCCATAGTCTCCCCTATTCGAACCTGCGCTGGAGTTGTGAGGTGCAGACCGTCTGGCTCGAGCGGCAGCCCTTTCGCATCCACGCATTGCATGTTTACCAACTTTGCTCCCAACTGAGCTCTTCTCACTATGTCTACGTAAGGCCCTCCTCCTGATGCCAACGCCACCTACCAAAATGAAAAAGGATCAATCAACTAATTTAAATTTACTTAATAATTTTAAGAACAAATCTACCTGGATTATGGGAAGAATAGGATCCTGGAGATCAGATCTTAGATCGGTGAAGAACCTAATCAATCTGCTCCCATACAACTCGGCATCCTCATTAATCTCCGTATCGGATTCACCTTGATACCAGAGCACTGCCCTGTACACTCCGCCGCTCCGTTGAGCCGCCTGAGCCCTCCGCACCAGCTGCTCGTAAAGGAACCCACCTTTCTCCCACTCGCTAATATTAGTCCCACCGATCGCGCAAGGCACCAGACCCACCAATCCGAAACCGGGATCCCTGGTCAAAACCGCATTGGCGAAGGACATTCCGGGTCCGATCCCGTTCGTCTTTCTCACATCAATGTCCGCGTGGAGCGGCTCGTGGGCTTGAACCCAGACCAGGTCCGAGCTCAGCCGGAGTATAGATGGGTTCGGTTGGCACTGAGGAGGAACGACGCCGTCCCATGTGGCGTTGTTGGTGACGGTGTTGTCTCCTGTCACTCCTCCGCGGCCTGCCATGTTGCTCTGCCCGGCGAGGAGGAAAACGTTGATTGTATTCTTCGGGACCAGATCTTGGGAAGTGATCGGAGAAGGTTGAAAAAAGAGGAGGAGGAGAAAGGAGAGAATCATGACTGTGGAGGAGGTGGAGATCTGCAACTTTGCGGCGAAGGGTGGCATCAATGGAGGAGGGTGGAAGGTAATCTATGGCTTTCTGAGCTCATGGTTGGAACCAAGGTTGAGTATGTTGCTTGCTAGGTGGGTCAACCATGGAACTTGTAATGGGTATTTTGCCATTTTCAGATGGTAACTAACTCTAGTTATTTTCAATGGCGGAAACATACCTGGCATCAGAATATTTCTTCAATTGGATGTATAAAATTCAACAAAACCCGCCTCCTAGAACTTTTTAGATTTATAATCTTTACAGAAAAAGGAATGTGGAAGAGTAGAGGTCGGCAACTGTACATAACCGGATCAGACCAACCGGATTAAAATAGAAGTTGCAACAAATTTTCGAAACATAAATTGGACCTTATGGAACCGGTCAAGTCCAATCGAGGTTGAACATATCGGTCCAGTCCCAGTTTTGCTGGCCCAGCCCGTCCGTGTATATTTTCATAAAGCCCAGATCCATTTTATCATTTTAAAAAAATGAATATCTCCTTAAAAATATTAGGGTTAATAGCCCAACAAAGCCCAAAATGTAATCTTGGGCCAGTTCTTGATTTAGTACGGAACCATAAGCCCATTAACAATCCTAAATTGGGATCTTCAAAATAATATTAGTTTATAATTTGAAGGAAAATATATGTACAGAGAGAAATCTTTTTGAGTTATCATAGACACAACCGGTTAAAATCTCACATATCTTTTCACCATTTCGAAAAATAAAAGTTTAGAATTGGAGGTATATTATTTGACATTTTAGGTTTACCTAAAACCAGTATTGAAAATTAGCAAATATATATATATATATTGTTTCTGCGTTAAACAAAAATCAAAATTCGGTGGTTGGCTAAAATTGTAGAACTTTATATTTTTCAACAAAAGCTCCCTGCAAGTTAGAAGAGTCAACTTATCAAATACCTCCTCCCCCTCCTAACCCATTGACCTAAGCGATTACTTATTCTTTTTGGTTGGGCTTTCAGAAGCCTATACGTAACAAATTACGACTTCAGGAAAATCAAAACAAAAATTAAAACATAATTTGTAAATGAAAATTAGAAGATGAATGATTAATTTAATTTTTATCATTTATAATTAAAAAACGCACAAGTATATGATGATGATGGCGATATATTACTAAATGTAACACGAAGGCACTGCTAGTTGTATTCCACTTTGATTATTATTAATTTTATTGTAATTATATTTGTTTCTTGCTGTTATTTTTAATAATAAACGAAACAAAATTAGGACCGCTTTTTCTATCCCAATCTGGGCCAACTTTGACTTTCTTGCCTAATCAATTCTTAAAATATGTTTCTATTTTTCTTTTTTTTTTTTAATTTTATTTTATATTTTGTTGCGATTAAACGAGCAACAGGGAGATTCACGTTGCCTACGCTACTCTCCTTACTTATTTATTTATTTATTGATATATAAGAATATATATTCTTATCGCGGTATATATATTATTTTTTTAGTATTGATTATTTATATATATATATATATATAACAACCCATTTGGCTTAATCTTTAAAATTTTATTTTTTTAGTGAAGTTTGATTGTTTGTATCCGCAAGTTGTTTCATTTTTAACCACTCTAATTATTTTGGCTATTGACGTATTTTATTATGTGTCACCAAATAACTAATTCTAATTAAGTAGAAATATATAAATATTAGTTTCTGTATTGCTTTTCTTTTTCTTTTCCTTTTTTTTTATATATATTTTTAATATCGATTGTTTTTGTTTTAGTTAACATATGCTGATCAAATTTTTATTCTATATTTCTTAGTTTATTTAGGTTATATTATGAAGTGACTGACATACTAATTAAATTTTAATATTCTGTTTTTTAAATGGTTTGTTTTTATAACTAGAATGTAGTGATTTGATTGGAATTGAAATTTAAATTGACAAATTGAGTGAAAATGGTGGAAGACACAAGTCATATTTGATTTATAGTTAGAGAAGAGTCGGTAGGGGATAAGAAAAGTTTAGTGTTATGGGAGAGGAAAAGAAAATAGTTAGTCAATTGTGTCAACATGTTCAACAATTTTTGGAGGAGGAAATCAATGTTATCGTGTTGGAATATTCTTTCTTTTCTTCATTTTATGCCGTTTAAAGTAAGATGGGAATTTTATTTGGCGAAGGAAGAATTGAAATTATATTTATACACTTTTGAAGGGAATATTTATGTTTGAGAAAAACCCATAAGATATATATTGACTATAAGAATTTATGTATGTTGAAATATTGAATCCATCAAACAATTATCTATAAGGGTGTCACCTGTTTTAGTTTAAAAGATTATATGTACAGTGTGTTATATATATATATATATATATAGAGAGAAAGAGTGTGACGTAATGTTTCATGAAATGGTAAGATGATCAGTCGGCCAACACGTATATATATATATATATTATTTTGGGGTTGAAAAATAATAAATAAAAAAAAAAAGAAAACTTACATTTAATATTAGACGTTGTAGTAGTTTGTTTCTTTTCTTGTATCATCTTTTACATGATATTCACTAACTACCCTCTTGTCGCTACCAAATTATTCTCAATCATTCAACTTTTTGAATTTTTGTTTTTTCATTTTTCTTTCCTCAAATCTTGAAATTCAATTATATAAAATAATAATAAGAAGAAAATAATTGAAAAAAGCGAAATATATTTTGGTGGTTTTTAAAATATGATAAATAAATAAAATTGAAAGTGATATAGTCATCATTTGGATGGCCAGTAGTTGATTATCTGTATCTGACAAATTAAAGATGATGGATTACTGGAACCTGAATTTGCGGGTTGGCCCACATCCAGATTAAAATGATAGACCCCGATTTCCCTCAATGAAGGGACTAGGATTTTTCTGTAATTATTCATGACTTGATTTAATGATTAGCCGCTAATTATATTTTGCGGAAAATTATAAAATCTTTATGTTGACTAATTACCGATTCTTAAATTTAATAATAAAAATAATTTAAATTAACAATACTTACTCCGTAAGTAATTTATCTAGACAATAATAATAATAATAATAGAATTTTAATGGTAAATGGACCGACTTTTTCTTTTGGGTGGGTGAAATTAGCAGTGCTCTTTTTAGCTCACAGCCCTCCCCCCATGATGGATGACATAAATCGTACCCCGTTCTCAATTTGCCATCCATTAAAAGTTAACCAAATCGGGTTCATGTCGGCAGCCTCGGGTCGCCCCACAACCGGGCAAGAAACCAGTTGAGTCTGCGAGCTATGCAACGAAATATTAAAAAACAAAAAAAACAAAAAAAAAAAGGAAATGCAGTTCAAACTCACCGTACGGTATTACGACACGGGGCCTTAACAAAACGTCAGTGGATCACGTCGTACGAGGGAGGGAGAGGGAGGGAGGGATGGATGGATGGATGCATGCAGCGGAAAATCATCGCTAGTATGGGTCCCACATCCCTCTCTCTCTCTCTCTCTAACTCCCGAATCCCGATGTTATGATTCTCTCTTTGGAACTCGCGGCAAGTGGGTTATAGCTGGCAACTACATTTCAACTTTTTATTTATTTATTTATTTTTGGTTCGACGTAGCAACAGATTTCTTGCATCCGCTGCGGTTAGGTCCGTTAAAGTCCCTCCCTCCCATTTTAAAATATATAAATAAAGAGTCACGTTTCCACGTCACTCGCTAACGGACAAAACCTTACTCCATCCTCTGGGACCCACTCGTAACAGATCATACGTGGCGGAACAGAGTAGATGATTAACCCATAAGCTGTCTTCAGTGCGTTTGTCACCATTGATGTCCCACGTGGCACCCGCGGGGTCCTATTCGAGGGGCAATTTTTCGGGACCAATAATTCGGGAGATACGGCACCGGTGTGAGGTTAAAATAGTCAAAACATGTTTAATAATCAGCTAGCTTTGGTCAAAAACCCACGTTTATTATTTATTTGATTTAGTTATGATTCGTTTATCTTCTTATTAACACTCGCTAATCACGTGATTTTTACTGTAGTCTTTTTACGTCTTTTACGTTATTGTTTTACAGATTTGTTAACATCAAATTTACCGCAAATATTGACGACTCCAATTTTTTATTAGGGTCAAAAACGATCTAAACAATTGATAGAAAATGTGAATTTTTATTTGTGCGCTGACAATACTTTTAACGTGCGTATTTAATTTATTAAATTAAATTGTAGTGTTTGTTCAAAGCATAATGGTTAATCATTTAATTATTTAAAACTAATATATTTATTTGTAATTACTCCTAATATTCAGGAAGCCCTTATAATTTCTTCTAAGAAAAAAACATGATTATCTACCTAATCAATTTCAAGCCGTAATTAGGAATTAAATAATTAAATTACTTTGCTTTTTTTTTTTTATTTATAGGAAAACTAAATAATACCCATAAAACTTCGCTCGTAAGATTGCCAAAAAATATGTATAAATATGTATTTAAAATATTGTGGGGAGTCGTGTGACTCTTGAATCCGATAAAGTTTGTTTGTATTAAAATAAAAACAAACATTTTTTTTTTGGGGTTTTATTTATATTGTTCATTCAATCTAGCTAATTAATTTCATAATTAATAAAGCAGATTTCGTGCTGCCAGCTGATGCCCAATTTGCATTAACAAAAATAGGTCTTGTACACGTATATATGTACCAAGTTAGGATAAATTAATTAATACATATTCATATAATTTTTAATTTTTAAAATTAAATATTATATTAGTGCAAATTAACCAAAAAGGGAGTCTTAGGAAACAACATCCTCCCTCTTTCTGCACCATGTGACTGATCCAAGTTGATGGTATTTGTTAATTACAAACTTGTTATTTTTTTACTGATTCTTTTAATAATTAAATCGTATTTTGGCTTGTACTTCAAAATAATAATAATAATAATCGCTTCTTATAATATTTATTTATAATCTCATATAAAATATTATAAGAGACATAATAATGAAATAATGCAAAAAATTACTTAATTGGATCAATTATTCATTAATTAAATTGCTATTTATTCAACAAATATATAATATAAAATAAAAAATATATATTTTATTATAATACATACAGATACGTAATAATATAAAAGGAGATTTTTTGTTGCAAAAAGGCAAGCCACCCAGAAGGCGTGCCCAAGTTTGAGACCACTCTTTCGCTCCCTTCTTTTTCCCCGTTTCATGTATGGACAAATGCAACAATCTAATTTACAAAAGAAAACCTGCAGAATTGTTGATTAAAGAGAGAAAAAAAAAAAAAAAAAAAAAAAAAAAAAAAGCTTAAACAATGCCCATTTGCAGACAGAAACGCACCGTTTTGCCTGTGCGATTCCATCGAATAATACCGATATACATTAAGGTTAAGAATTACAAAACACTAAAAATAATATATAAGAAGACATGGGTTTCAGATTTGCAGTTTCTGGTCTGGTTTGGCAGAGCGAAGAGGTGTCTGGGAGGGTGGATCATGAACCACCTCGAGACAGTCACGTGCAGGAGCTCCGAATAATCGTCGTTGTACGGGTGAAGGACAGAGTTTGGAAACCGGAGAGAGGGCGCGTAGAGAATGAGAGTGGGTTTTCTTAATAGCTTTCCGTTTGCACAGCTGTCCCGAGGAAAGACTTTCAGTTTTGAAAAGAGATGTTTCCCTTTTTCCGCGTTGTGGGGCGACAAGAGTCATATGATATGACGTCGTTTTACCGAAAGTAAATAAATAATAGGGTAAATTCTTCAGATCATGTTGAGAAATTAAATATCCAAAATTACCACAGCGGATAAATCATAAATAATGGAGAATAGAGTGGGGGAGTTAGGAAATATTTGAGGAATGAATTTTGGGGTGATATTTTAATAAATGCATGAAAATTGAAGGCATAAAAAGAAAAAAGAAAGAAAATAAATGAGATCTTTTGGGCTTTCGGTAGTTGAAATTTTCCTTCGAATATCATATATATATATATATATAGGGTCCCCCATATTAAGGTAATCATTGTCGTTGGCTGTTAAATAACTGGGTTCTATGCGTACGCCAAAATCCGCTCCCAGATATTTAGTTAAATTAAATATTTCAATTTATCAATCTTTCGATTTTGGATTTGTTGGGTGGTAATTGTTTAAAATAATTTTTTAATATAACACGCTGTATATTAATCGTGGGTTAGATAACAACTAAAATTTAAAATTTTTAGTTTTAATTATAATCAAAATAAAATTATTAGGGTCAAAACTTTGATTAATACTTTAAATTATTGAGAGACACTGTTGAATACTTAAAAATTCTATAATTATCATAACATCTACACGAGTCAATGTACATAGCTATAGAATTTGGATAAATCATTTGATGTGACGTGGGGAGCTTTGGCTTCATGCCCACTTTACTTGAAACTCTATTATGTATATATATTTCAAATAAATTATCACGCTGTTTAAATTTAATTAATCAACCGTATATGTAAGGATGATTGGTAAATATATTTTTCCCCAAATAATATTAGAAAAAGGCTGTAAAAGAAATTTGATATAATTAAAGTCTTTTTGCTATTATAAAATTATATATCACATTTTCAATTCAAAATTATTGAAATATAATTATTCCGGAGCAATACAAAATCCGATGAAACTTAATTTTAAGTTTCAAAAAAGATATATTTTTATTTTCATATTTCACAAAAAATATATGAAAAAATTATATCATGCAGTCATTTATTAAAAATAATCAAATGCAAACAAAACAGTAATGATAGTGTCGTTTCTTTCATGAGGGTGAATTGGTTTCGGGGAGCGTTACCGGCACGTGGCGCTTGGCGTTAGGCCGTTAGGGATTGGGGTTGACAGCCTGGACTGACAGAAATTGTAGTACCGTTCGTCCCCCGATTCTGCTACTTAACTTTTGTCGTTTTATGTGCCAGCTCATCAATTCCGTGCGTCCTTTTCTCTCATCATTCAAAAATTTTTTTAAAAAATATCCTTATATGCTCTCCAGCCTGGCTCGGTCAAAGTCCTCATCTCCTTCTCCAACCGTACACTTCATTTCTCTCTCTCTCTAAAAAATTAAAATCTATTAAAAAAGTATAATTAAATTTTAGTTAAACTGAATTTGATATTTTTAAATTACCGATAAAATAACTGCTCTCTCTTCCTTCAACACGGAAACGTTTTTGAATTTTAACTTCCAAAACAGTCGGTTTATTTTTAAGCAATAATGATTCTATTAAATAATTAATTATTATTGCTTAGCGTGGTTTTTTATTTTTTTAACCTAGATTTTTTTATGAGGCTAGATGGACTCCCTGGAGGAGGTTTATCGGCATTGTGGGCCCCACTACCGGAGGGAGATGGAGGGGTTTGATGTGGCGTGACTCATGGGGGTTGTGAACTTGACGGGTGGGTAATGTGGCAACCGCACGTAATCCGGGCTTTTTATTATGGAGGGTAGTGATTATTTATACGTGGAAGCTGGAGAGGCTACGAAGTGACGCGTGTCACTTTGACAGCTGTATGCTAGTAACTGCCTTGCCTGGAAGGATCCCACAATCTCAACGGCTATGACCGGTTTCTGATACCGGCTCAGCCGGTCATCCTTATCCCCTTCCATATATATACACCTTTCACTTCTCTTCACTCTCTGCTAAAGGTGAGAGGCTGCAGCCTTCACCCCTAACCTTTTATCTCTGAACAAACCCCCAACTCAAAATAAGCAAATAAAACCAGAAAAAACCTCCTCTCTTAAACTTTCCCTTTTCTAGTTTAGATTTCGTTGAACAAACAGACGTTTCTTTTTTTTTTTTTTGTATAAATTAGAGGTAGACAGCTTAGGGTTCTTCAAAGAAATCTCACGATCAATCCATGGCTTCAACGAGGAAAGATGTTGTCGATCGAATCAAGGGTCCATGGAGCCCTGAGGAAGATGAAGCTTTGCAGAGGCTGGTTCAGAACTACGGCCCGAGAAACTGGTCACTGATCAGTAAGTCAATCCCTGGTCGATCGGGGAAGTCGTGCCGGTTACGGTGGTGCAACCAGCTTTCTCCTGAGGTTGAGCACCGGCCATTCACGTCGGAAGAGGACGAGACGATCATCAGAGCCCACGCCCGATTCGGGAACAAGTGGGCGACCATCGCTCGTCTCCTCAATGGCCGCACAGATAACGCCATCAAGAATCATTGGAATTCCACCCTCAAAAGAAAATGTTCTTCCATGTCCGACGGCTTGTATGACGACGCTCATGTCCAGCAGCAGCCCTTGAAAAGATCTGCTAGTCTGGGTACGGGCACCAATGCATCTGGTCTATACTTGAACCCGAGTAGTCCATCAGGCTCCGATTTGAGTGACTCCAGCTTACCCGGTGTTTCCATGTCCCCGGTTTATAGACCGTTAGCTAGAACCGGTTCGCTTCTACCTCCAACTCAGCATATCGAAACGGCGTCGTCAACGGTCACAGATCCACCCACATCACTCAGCCTCTCGCTGCCCGGATCCGACACCTGTGAGGTCTCCAACCAAGTGTCCGGATCGAACCGGGCCGTGAACCCGACCCGTGTCCTTCCACACCAGGTGACGCCATCAGTTGGGCCTCCACAACCCCCACCTCCTTTACAGGTGCAGACAACTAGTCAGGGTGAGTTTGGATACGAGAAACAGTTTTTTAGTGCTGAGTTTTTGGCGGTGATGCAAGAAATGATCAGAAAAGAAGTGAGGAACTACATGGCTGGGATCGAGCAGAACGGGCTTTGCTTGCAGACAGAGGCTATTAGGAATGCAGTGGTGAAGCGAATTGGAATTAGCAAGATTGAGTAGTGATTTATCAGAGTAGTAATTAGAGAAGATGATCGGAATCAGTTTGATGACGATGACCCATGATGAAAGTCAGATAGAAGAAGAGAGTAAAACACAAGAGCTGCTACGCCATAATGATAGAAAGAAACTTATGTTCTTTCTCTTTGGTTTTTTTTTTTTTTTTTTTTTCGTGCTTCGTTTATCTTCCATACAAATAATAATTTTGGTAGTGTACAGAGGAATAGAATGGGAAAGAAGGTGTAATTCACAAGGGTTTTCGAGGTAGCCCGGAAAAGAAAATCTGAGGAACAGTTTCCATTAATATATTTAAAAAAAAGGTCGCAAACAAGAAAAGATGAATTCAAACTTTGGTAAACCCCTTTTTTGCTCTATTCGTTCTCTGATATTTTAAATAAAGGAAAACTGAAATCAAATTCAACAGGATGGAGAAAGGCAACCGTTTTATGAGGGAAAAATGAAGTAATGGTTTCGGTTGGGGAAGTAGGAATGGAACAAGAAATGCTGATGATGATTTTGTTTGGTAGTTGAGTTTTCTTCTTGCACAAAAGATGAAAAGAGTTTTGATTTGATCATGCACACTAGCTGTCCAGCAATCTATATATTTAAAGGCATGTGAGAAATTTCTTCTGCACAAGTAACCCAATTAACAATCGGGTCGGATCGTCGATTTATCACTTTGCATCAATCATTTTTGGTTTTTGACAGAATGGGGTTTTAATTAAAATGGATATTGGTATACTGAGGTCTGTGCAAGATGGTGTCGCTTCTGAGTTGAACAAAACATTATAATAAGACTGGAAGAAGACATTTGTTGTTGAGAGAATGTTTTAGTTTGTGTTGAAATTGATTGTGAGGAAACGAAATGTTTGGTTAAATGTTGTTTTGTTTTGAATCTAAACATTGAAATGATTAAAGCTTAGTCAACAGTTACTGTGCTGAGAATAGACTGTGAGAAAACTACGACTATTTTTGGGCCGTGGATCTTATACCTAAAGGGCTCTAAATCCATTCTCTCACTGGGCTTACCTGATGTGATGTGCACAAACCATTAAATCTTTTGATTAATAAGTCATTAATTTTCTATTAAAAGATTAACTTTGTTCATTATTTTAATTGAGTTTTTTATTTTTATTTTTTATTTCTATAACAAAGTCTATTATTTTCAGTTTTCTCATCTTTACTTACTTTTTACTGTATAACTTACCGAAAATAACTAATTATGATGTTTTATTTAACTTGAATCTTAATATAAAAAAATTGATTTAAGATTAACTCATAAATAGAAGAATGTATATATATATATATATAGTTTAATAACTATACCATACGCGGTCCAATTTATTTTATCTCATAAAATAAAAGGACATTGACCTGGCAAGTCAATTGGCAGTATTAAGAGACTAGTACGAACAATATATGAAAATTATTATTCTCACCAAATATTTCTATACATATACAGGTGTGAACATGTATGAAACTTATTGTAGATATCGTCCGCGCTAACGCTAAAAGAAGAATTGAATGCGATTGTGTTTAATCTTTTAGCTTAAATATAATTTGATTCTAAAAAGTATTTATGTTCGATTTAGTTGTTCATAAAAAAGGATAATATTTTACTTAAATCTAATCCGTTTAAATTAAATTAAATTAAGTATTAATTTTTTTAATGAAAATTCAAGTTTAGTTTCGAGGTTTGTTATCTCATAATTAAAATTAATTTAATACTTGCACGGCTACGTCAGTAAGGATTGAATGTTCTTGTCGGCTATCGCCACTGGTATTATGAAAGTGGGTAATCGAGATAAGACTAGTGAGCTTGGCGGTTACGGATGCGAATACGGGTTACGGGTCAAATTATGCACCGGGTGGTTTTTCCCATTAAAACCCTCAACACGTGATTTTCTCATGGAAAATGTCTGGCGCCATACCTTTTGGCCTCTTTCCATGCTCGATTTTCTTCAAGAACAAAACCAGAAGAATCAGTGTCTCTGCAACTGGGATCCCATCTGGTAATATTCAAGTCTAATGCACATATCAAAAACGTGATTGAGTTTTGTCTTCTTATTGCTTGACAAGCTATGTTGGAAATTGCTTTATGCATATTTTCTCGTTGAAAATCTTTCTTTCCTGCTGTCAAGTTCATCCACTAGGAAAAAAAACCGGGAACCAGCAGATTGATGGAGATCTGAAGGTAGATTCTGAATCTCTAACGGGATTGTCAAATTTTAAAAAAGGATAAATAGCGGAACCCCGAGTTAGCCGCGGGTGTATAGTCGGGTACTGTTATGCCAGAAGGTGGAAGCAACTTCGCTCTATCCCGCTCTGTTGCCAATTTTGACCAGTAGTTTACGCGACTCAGATTCTGGGAGAGCCTTGATTTTTCTTTACTTCGATGAACAGTGGCTGGAAAGTCAGCTACTTGCTTTTGTCGTGTATGAATGAGATACATGCATATGTACTTGTGTAGTTCTTGAAACAAGCAATTGCTGTCTTCTATTATTGAACTGGAGGAGTCGTCCCATGTAACATCGTTTTCTCCGATGGATCTGTGGCTGCTCTCTTGGGTTCTCTCCTTCCTGTTGGTCCTTTCTTTATGTTCATCCGCGGAGCTGTCTTCTCTGCGAAAAGGCTCGTTTCTGTCTGTCGAGAAACCAGACGATGTGTTGATTTCCCCAAATGGTGTTTTCTCCGCTGGTTTTTTCTCCGTCGGAATTAACGCTTTCTGCTTTGCCGTGTGGATTAATGAATCCAAGGATCGCACGGTGGTGTGGATGGCAAATCGCGATGAACCCGTCAATGGAATAGGCTCTAAGCTTTCGCTACTTAAAACAGGTGAGCTAATCTTGACGGATGGAGTTCGAAGAACCCAATGGACCACGGGTACTGCCTCACATTCTGGAGTTGATCTACTCCTGCGCAATAATGGAAATCTTGTTTTGGTTACTTCAGGCTCAGAGAAAAAGGACCTATGGCAAAGCTTTGATTCTCCAACAAACACCCTTCTTCCTGAACAGGTTTTAACCAAGGATAGATTCCTTATCTCGTCAAGAAGCTCGACCAACTATTCTTCTGGTTATTACAGGCTTTATTTTGACAACGATAATGTCCTCCGTCTTCTCTATAACATTCCTGCAACGACCAGTGTCTACTGGCCTGACCCATGGTTAATGCCTTGGGAAGCTGGCAGGTCTACATACAACAACAGCAGAGTTGCAGTACTCAACGCTCTTGGCTGCTTCGCATCATCTGATGATTTCAAGTGCTTTTCGGCAGATTTTGGAGTGAAAATTCTAAGACGACTGATGCTTGATCCTGATGGTAATCTTCGAATTTACAGCCTGGTAGGTACTAATAAGACTTGGGTTATTTCGTGGCAGGCCATTTCTCAACCATGTAAAATTCATGGCATTTGTGGAGGTCACAGTATGTGCAGTTATGACCATGTTAAAGGAAGGAGATGCTCTTGCTTGCCTGGTTACAGGTTCAGGAATGTTGCTGACTGGACTCGCGGATGTGAGCCGGATTTCAACGTTAACAGCGAATTAGACACATTTGATTTCAAGCGACTTCCACATGTTGAATCTTTTGGCTTTGACAAAGGTGGTTTTTCTAAAGCCACTTTGGAAGAATGTAAAAAGACATGCTTGAATATGTCTTCTTGCAGAGGTTTTGCATTTAAGTTTGGCATGTCCAGTGGTCATCAATGCTACCCCAAGACACGTTTATTTAATGGATACATTTCACCCAGTTTCTCAGGGGACTTGTATGTAAAAATGCCAAAATCTGAACTGAATTCTGTCAAAGAGATCAACATAGACACACGGCTAAAATGTTCGGGAGAATTGGTTGTGCTAGATAGAACGTATTTGCCGGCTCGTGTAAATTGGTCCCTGAGGTTTTTGCTATGGTTTGCTTCTTCAGTGGCAGTCTTTGAGATTACCTGTGTACTTCTGGTACGGTGTTTCTTGTTTAGAACGGAGAGAGCCTCTGAATCTGAAGCAGTGAAACAAGGTTATGCTTATGCTGCAACAGGGTTTAGAAGGTACACCTATGATCAACTAAAAAAGGCAACGAGGGGTTTTAGTGAAGAAATTGGTAGAGGAGGAGGTGGGGTTGTATACAAGGGAGTATTGCCTGATAATCAAATAGTGGCAATCAAGCGGCTCAATGATGCCAATCAAGGAGAAGGGGAATTCCTCGCAGAAGTGGGCACTATTGGTAGGCTTAATCACATGAACCTTATAGAAATGTGGGGGTACTGTGCGGAAGGAAAGCACAGGCTTTTGGTTTATGAGTTCATGGAGCATGGATCTGTAGCAGATAGACTTGCTTCCAATTCATTGAACTGGGAGAAGAGGTTCAGTATAGCCGTGGGAACGGCAAAAGGATTGGCTTATTTACACGAAGAATGCCTGGAGTGGGTTCTGCATTGTGATATAAAGCCTCAAAACATCCTGTTGGACTCTGATTACCAACCAAAGGTAGCGGATTTTGGTTTGTCTAAGCTGCTGAACAGAGGTGGCACTAGCATGAATGGCTCAAGCTTCTCGAGGATAAGAGGAACCAGAGGTTACATGGCCCCTGAATGGGTGTACAATCTACCAATCAATTCCAAAGTGGATGTATATAGCTATGGGATTGTGGTATTGGAGATGGTAACTGGTAAGAGCCCAATTGGCTTCCACTCTCTTGATGGTGGAGGGGTGACAGAACATGGAAGATTGGTACCTTGGGTGAGGGAGAAGGTGAATGGAGCTGCTACAAGAGAATCCTGGATGGAAGAAACAGTAGACCCTTTGCTGGCTGATGATTATAATGTTGATAGGATGGAATGTCTGGTGAGAGTAGCATTGAAATGTGTGGAAGAAGATAAGGATTCAAGACCTACCATGAGTCAAGTTGTACAGATGCTTCTGCAGAATGAGGGCAAATTTTTACACGATCCACTTGGAGCTGTAAAGAAGCCATAGTACCTTGTGCTTGATTTTAACCATGGTGATGCCAGGACTGCTTGTCATGTTTGTTGCGGAGAGTAGCTTCTGCTTTTTCTTTATATGTTCGTAAAATTGTATTAGCTAGCTCAATATATGCTTCATGACACTTGGAGTCACGTGTAAATTTTCATACGACTATATATAGATCAAAAGCTGTCCTTTTTATCATCTTTGCCTAGGCTCCAAATAGACATTTCGATAATGTTTACATTAACCATGTTGAGCACCAACTTCACCCTCCAGTCTCTACCCATACCATCTTTCCTTCTGTGTCACGTATGACTATGAAGGTGTGAAATAAAATCTGAATACCCTGTTAGCTAGATTAATTCTGCCATTTCAACTCCTCAGTGCCAGAGCAAAACAAATAAATGATGATTAGACGTGCAGTATCAAATGATCATATTAAGGTCACAAGAGGCAGAAAACTTTGCTCAAGCAACTCCAAGGTATGAGCAATTTACCATTTAGTCCTTATCTATGATTGTAACAGAGGAAGCATGGGTGAAAATAGATGTCTAGGCTAGAGCTGGGATTTTTCTGCTGCTACATTTATTGAATATGCAAGATAAGCTTAGAATATAGAAGACTTTAGAAGGTGCATCAGGCTTTGGCCATGATAATATATTTCTAATTGTTCATCTTAATATGATTGTCGTTGGGCTATATGGTTTGGACAAAAGAATTTTACAATAAGTGGGATTCGTTGCAATTTACATTTGAAGCATACAAACAAAAAAATTGCAGAGATATTCTACATTTTTTTGGGTGGAATTCATTTGTTCCAAATACAGTGTCAGTATTTCTTTCAGGTGTAAAAATGTTGATGTTCTGTATTCTTATACATCTATACTGCCTAATTGTTGCTCTGATAAAATTCAACTATGGCCAAGACACTAGACAGATCAGATGTCTAGCTATGAGACAGAGGAAGCAAGCCAGCCAGCAAGAACAAGAGGTACACAGTTTGGTTAATCTTTCCTGCTCTAGTGTAGATTAACAAAAATCTAATTTTTGAATTCATCAAGCAGTGCAGCTATTGGCGAAAATTACTGAAGTTTTAGAGAATGAAAATTCTACTTCTGCTTATCATTTCCATCACCATAAGATGTTAATTTATAGGAAAAATACAACTAAATTCTAACAAAAACCTAACAAAATTCTAACAACTTTATGGGAATGAGGAATACCTCACCAGCTTTGTGATTGCCTCCACTAGGCTAAACACTAGTCTAATAATAACAAAAATAAAAACTGAATTGATTCTTTTATTTTTTACACTCCCCCTTAATTCAGTTTACGTATATATTGAGTAAACCTAAATTGAATGTTATATCATCAAATATCCTTTTTGGTAGAGCCTTTGTTAGGATGTCTGCAATCTATTGACTGGTTGAAATGTGCATGAGTGGTATAGTACCATCTTCTAACTTCTCTTTGATAAAGTGACGATCAATCTCTACATGCTTGGTTCTATCATGGCGTACAGGATTCTTGGCCATACTGATGATTGATTGATTATCACATCAAACTTTCATAGGAATGTTGTTAGGAAGCTTTAGTTCGACAGTCATCCTTCTTAGCCACATACATTCATATATACCATGAGCAAGTGCCCTAAACTCATATTCTGCACTGCTACGAGATACAACTAATTGTTTTTTATTGCGTTAGGTGACCAGGTTTCCCCAGACATAAGTACAATACTCTAATGTAGACCGTCTGTCGTTTATTGAGCCTGCTCAATCTGTATCAGTGTATATTTTAACATCTCTTTTCACCGTTTTTTGAAAGAGCAATCTTTGTCCTGTAGTCATCTTTAGTATCTTATAATTCAATATACAGCTTTCATGTATTTCTCAATTGGCTGATTCATGAAGTGACTCACTGTACTTACTGCCAAACTGATATCGGGTTTTATATGTGCTAGGTAGATGAGCTTCCCAACTAGTCTTTGATACATTTATTTATCAACTGTTTTATCACTGATTTCGGATTCAAGTTTGATTGTTGGATCCATAGGAGTGTCAGCAGACTTACTTCCTAGCATCCTAGTCTCCTTCAGAAGATCTAGAACATACTTTCATTGAAATACCGAAATTCTATTCTTGGATCTAGCCACCTCTATTTCGAGAAAGTACTTTAGTACTCCGAGATCTTTAATTTCAAACTCTTTGGCTAAGAATTTTCTGAGCTTCTGAATCTCCTCAATATGATCTCCTGTAAGGATGATATCATCTACATATACAATCAAGATAACTTTCTTACGTGAGGTACAATGCTTGACAAATAGCATATGATCAGACTGACACTGCTCATATCCTTCCCGTTTTATTGCCCTTTTGAATCTATCAAACTATACCCTTAGAGATTGCTTTAGACCATAGAGTGACTTTTTCAGCTTGTATATTTTCTGAGGACTGTCTATTAGTTCAAATCCTGGTGGTATGTCTATATGCACTTTTTCCTCTAAATCACCATTAAAAAAATGCATTCTTCACATATAGCTGACAGAGTGGCCAATCAAGATTAGAGACGAGTGAGAGAAACCGAGTGTAGCCTTTGGCTACTAGTCGGGAATTACACTGATTCACACTTCCATCTGGATTGTATTTAGTTCTGAAAACCCACTTGCACCCCACTTGGTGTTTCCCTAGAGGTAGATCAATTAATTATCATGTTTTGTTCTTTTCAAGTGCCTTGATTTTCTCTTGAACAACCATCCTCCATTCGAGTATTTTTAGAGCTTCATGGATTGTTTTAGGCTCCGGTGAGCTACTGTCTAATCTGCACACAAAAACATGATGTTCCAAAGACAACTTATTTGATGAAATATAGTCCTGTATAGGATATTTGGTGCATGTCCGAGTCTCTTTTCTCAAATCAATAGGCATGTCAATGTCAGTATATGTAGTTGGAATAGAAGTCTCATTACCTGTTAATTTCTGGGCACAAGGATCAAGGGTGGATTCATGGCAAGGCTTGGATGATTCAGGTGCCTTCTTTTTGTTTCTTCTAATATAGACAAGTAACTCACTCATTACAGGTATTGTGTTCTTTGTAACTGGCTTTGGTTCAGGTTCTTTATGTCAGGTTATAGGTTTAGGCTCCAGAGAGGGTTTATTTGATGGAAGGTGACTCTGTGGATATAGATGAGGTATGCTTACATCCCACAACTGATATTCCTGAGTAAATGTCTCCCCCTGAATATTAATTGTGGGGTAAAATAGTTAGTTTTCAAAAAATGTGACATCCATTGTGTTATAAAATCGACGAATTTTAGGAACTAGACACTTGTATTCTTTCTGATTAGCAGAGTACCCAACAAAGATGCATTTAAGGTCCCTTAGGTCAAGTTTTCTACGGAGATGAGTGTGAGTATGAACATATGTTGAACAACCAAAGACTTTGAGTAGTAATGTGTTTAAAATATGAGATTCAGAAAAAGTTTGTGAAAGAATGGTGTAAGGTGATTAGAACTTTAGGACACGAGAGGGCATCCGATTTATCAAGTAAGTAGTAGTCAGAACAACCTCTCCCCAGATAAATTTTGGTACATGCGTGGTGAATATGATTGATTTAACTACCTCAAGAATGTGTCTATTTTTCCTCTTGGCTATGCCGTTTTGTTGTGGGATATGTACACAAAAGTTTTGGTGAATAATACCATGTTCAGTAAAATATTTCTCAATGGTAGCTTTAAAGTATTCACAAGCATTGTCAGATTTCAATACTTGGATGGTCACATGAAATTGTGTTTAGATCATTGTATGAAATTTTTTAAAGAGATATCTAACTTCAGATTTTTCTTTCTTAAGAAACACCTAGGTAGTTCTTGTATGATCATCAATAAAGGATACAAACCACCTAATTCCGGTGATGTTGGTGATCTTGAAAGGTCTTCATACATCGCTATGAATTAATGCAAATGGCTTTGAGGGTTTGTATGACAGACTAGGAAATGAACTTCGAACATGCTTAGAAAATTGACATACTTCACACTGAAATAAAATGGGATCTTTTTCTTTGAATAGTAAAGGGAACAACTTTTTCAGATACACGAAATTTGGATATTCTACTTTATAGTGTCACAACGTAATATCATGGTCATTATTTGCAGAAATAGAAATAGAGTTTGCACAAACCGCATTGTGAGTTTGTCTTCTAGAAGCATTGATGTGAAACATATATTGTCCTGAGCTCATCCTAACATTGCCAATCATCCTTTCCGAATCCAAGTCCTAAAATTCACACATATTAGAGACAAACTTAGCAGCATAATTTAAATCTTTCACATAGCTTGCTTACTGATAACAAATTACAATTCAGATTTGGAATATGAAGGACTGAGCAAAGAGTCAAATTAGGAGACAAATTTATAGACCATTCTTGCCACTTTTGAGAGGGACCCATCAGCAATTCTGATTGAATAATCTTCTTTACACTTGTTGTATTTTTGAAATATTGAGGCATCTCCAGTCATATGATCAGATGCTCTTGAGTCTACAACCCAAACCTGCCTTTCTTCTGAGTAAGCAGACAAACCAAAAATATTATCTTTGTGTGCCACTGAAACACTGACCGGGTAAATTTTCTGGGATAGCATGTGCTGGAGAGCTTCCAACTATTCAGAACTAAAGGGACTGCTCTCCACAACAGCAGGTGAAATTTCTTTAGTAGTCACGTGATTTCCCTAGTGCTTGTTTAAGTTTTCTGGCTTGGAGGGCTTCCAATCACTCGGCTTGCCGTGAAGCTTCCAACACTTTTGGCATGTGTGCCCGAGCTTCCTACGGTGGTCACACCAGAGTCTTGTCTTCTTCGTACGAGCATTCAGTGTTCGGGTTGTGAGCGTAGAGGAATTTTCAGCCTGGTGGGTGAGTTTGGTGTCTCCCAGCATGACCTTCCTTCGGCTTTCTTCTTGTCGAATCTCACAGAAGGCCTCACAAAGACTCGGTAGTGGCTTGATACTCAGCACGCGTCCCCGAACCTCATCAAGATTTTTGTTCAATCCTAGTAGAAATTTAAAGACTTACTTCTGTTCAATAATTAATTTAAAAATTTTCGTATATTTGGGACAGCTCCATCGATACTCTTTGAAGATATCCAATTGCTGCCAGTTGCGGGTCAAAGCATTATAATATTGGGTTACACTTAACTCACATTGTCGAAGATCGTGACGAGTCGATTCTATCTCAAAGATGGCAGAGGTGTTCTCCTTACTGGAGTAGAATTCTTGAGTCACTTCCCAAATCTCATGCATGGTCTCATAGAGAAGGAAATTCTCTTCGATTTTTGTAGTCATTGAAGTTATGAGCCACAACAT